TTAGAAATAGTGAATCACAATTCAATAGACATGTGCGATTCATTTCGTTCCGAATCACATCCGAATTTCTGAATCCCAATGCATCTGAATGTATCTGAATCCGAATTTCCATTTCCGAATTTCGGATCCTATCCTGGGGACGCTGATCTGTCATTAAACAATAACAACTGGGTGGAGCCTGCCGTGACATCACGGCCGTCTCTGCCCAGTTGTTATTCATTGGCCAGGACCTGCTAGAAGACTCTAGCAGGTGCCGGCCAATAGGAAACGGTTGGGCGGAACTAGCTGTCACCGCTAGCACTGCCCTTTTTTTTTTCCTTTTCTTAAAAATATCTTTCTTTTTTTAATTTTACTATTTGTTTACATTTTTTCAACCTTTTTTTGTCACTCTTTTCACTGATTTTCTATTCTGCTTGGTACCTCCGAATTGGAGTCCGAATTTCCGAATAGCATTCGAGTGCTCCGGAATGCCATTCAGGTCTAACTGCCTCAGATTTAATATGGCTCCCAGACCCGTATTGCTTTGTGGAGCTCCCGAATTGTATTTGAAAATTCGGAATCCCGATTGCCATTCGGGTCTAGGAGCTTCAGCTTTAGTATTAATATCTTAGTATGGTTTTCTGTGGTATTCGCAACGAACATCCGAAACTAACGAAAATTCAGATTTCATCCGAATCCGAAACCCGAAATAACGAAATATTCAAACTGAATTATTCCGGAGCTTACATGTCTATAATTCATACAAATCTTGGGTACGCAGGAAATATATGAAATCCTTACCTTAGTTCACCATACAAGACGTTATACATATAATTTGCTTTTGAACAGACATCTATACTGGTAAGCCGGCAACAAAAGGAGATTTTACATCTGGAGACTACTGGACCAAAAATATTCGTGAGCCAGTTCTGTTTGAACAAGCTATAAAAGCTTCTACAAATAACAAAGAAAACATTGTGTTTATAGAAGTTGGGCCCCGCAGAGCACTACAAAAAAACATTGTTGATATCCTTGGACCAAATACAACTGTTATGCCTTCTGTGCATCCAAAAAATGAGTATGAAACGATTTTTTCTCTGTTGATTAATCTTTTCAAAAAGGGTTTCAATCCAAATTGGAACAATCTTTTTTGTGAATACAAATCTCCTCCATCTTACATTCCAAGATATCAGTTTGAGCACAACAAGCAAGATATCTCTTTTGAAAAAATTAGGCAAGGAAACCAATCTGCAGCCTCTTTCATTCATCCACTGATGCACAATGTAAGTGCAGATTTCACCGAGTTTAAATGCACTCTTTCAAAATCACTGACACCGTATGTTTATGAACACAAGAATTTAGGATCTACACTTGTTCCTGGTGCATTCTTTGTAGAACTTGCTTTAGCAGCTACAGTTACAAGCTTGAAGCCCATGGTGCCCTTACACTCCTTGAAAATCAGCACAACATTTTTGAATCCCTGTATTCTTCAAAGAGAATCTCAGGAGCTAAATGTCAAGATACACCAACAAGACCAAGTCAAATTTTTTCTCTGTTGATTAATCTTTTCAAAAAGGGTTTCAATCCAAATTGGAACAATCTTTTTTGTGAATACAAATCTCCTCCATCTTACATTCCAAGATATCAGTTTGAGCACAACAAGCAAGATATCTCTTTTGAAAAAATTAGGCAAGGAAACCAATCTGCAGCCTCTTTCATTCATCCACTGATGCACAATGTAAGTGCAGATTTCACCGAGTTTAAATGCACTCTTTCAAAATCACTGACACCGTATGTTTATGAACACAAGAATTTAGGATCTACACTTGTTCCTGGTGCATTCTTTGTAGAACTTGCTTTAGCAGCTACAGTTACAAGCTTGAAGCCCATGGTGCCCTTACACTCCTTGAAAATCAGCGCAAAGTTTCTGAATCCCTGTATTCTTCAAAGAGAATCTCAGGAGCTAAATGTCAAGATACAACAACAAGACCAAGTCATTCATTTTGAAATTCTGACATCTCATGTTTATGCAACTGGGCATGTGACACAAAACAACAGTGGAATAGACAGTGACAAAAGAATTTACATTCAGCATATTGTCAAGAGATGTCAAACTGTTTTAAAAAAGGATGATGTCTATGCATTACTATCCACCTTTGGATTTGAGTATGGAAAAGTCTACAGACAGCTGTGTGATGTTCACTATGGGGAAGAGCTGAATGAAGGGATTGCCAAGATTACAATTGGAGAAATCAAAGAAACAATGTATGAATACCACATGCATCCAGTGATTTTAGACTGTTTCCTTCAAATGGTTGGTTGTGTGGTTGGTTCTAGAAAAAAAGAACCTGCAGCAATTTTTCCATCTTCTATAGGAAGCTTGAGGATTCTCCAACCTCTTCAAGAAGAAATGGTGATCTACATTAAAGTAATAAGAATCACAGAAAGTTACACTGAAGTCTGTGGATGTTTTGCTGATAACAATGGTTTAGTGTTAGCAGAGATAGAAAATGCCAGGATGGCAATCATGAAACAAGCGGTGAGAACACAAGCAAACCACTTTTTTCATATTAAGTGGACGGAGACACCAAGCCTGAAGAATGCATCAAATGAGAAGCCGAGCATGCTGATATATGCAGATAACTCAGGAGTAAGTCAGCAATTATCAGCCTACCTACATGAGGAAGTGAGCTACATTAACTTTAGCAGCTGGGATTCAGACATCCAGGTACACAAACTACTCAGCAGTGAGTCTAAAGATGTTGTATTTATGTGGGGGATCCATAGACTCAGTGATACAATTCCAAATAATCCCACACAATATCTAGCAAAATGCTGTGAGGTCTACCAACAGTTGATTTTGGCAGTAAGACAGAAAGGCTCTAAAGCATGTATCAAGACAGTCACATTCAGAACAACAGAAAGCACCGTAAATCACATTAATCCTGGTTTTGTTTTTGTTGGGATGACAAGAGCTTGCACTCTTGAATTGCCTAACATTACCTTTCAGCTGATCGATATCGGCTCTTCAAGTCCTCAAGATGTGGAAGCACTCTGTCAAGTTCTCCTTCATTACAAACCAATTGATCATCCAGAGGTAAGGATAAAAGAAGGCTGTATTTACACAGGTGAAATTGTATACACAGACACTGAAAACGATACACAACTATCAGCACCCTTAGAGAAGTCAGACAATTTTACATTGTGCACTTCAGAAATTCATGCTTTGACTGATCTTTCTGCTGAACTAAATAATTTTGAATTCAATGAGCTCTCAAGCAAAGATGTAGAGATTAGAATGGACAAAATAGGTGCCCACACTGAAGACTATTTTCCAGTCAGTCTTTCTAGCTGGCAATATGGAAACACATTGTACTGGAATGGTGTGGCTTCTGATAAACATAAGTTAGTTGCTCTGGATTTTGCAGGAACTGTAACAGCCGTTGGAAAAGATGTCCGCAAAATTCAAGTTGGGGATAGAGTTGCTTCATGTTATCCAACAGTTGCAAATTCCACAGTGAGGCTGCCAGAGAGTGTTTGCTGTTTAATTAAGACGTTTCCAGTGCTAAGAGAATCACCTTTTGTTTCGCTATTTGTCTTAGCCTGGGAAATTTTACATAACCGACTACCAGGTGCAAAAAACAAATCTAAACTGACAATTGTAACAACAGAAGAAAAGTCAGTTTTGAGTAAAATTTTATCAAAGGCAGCAAAACAAAGAGGGTGGGAAACCACAATATCTCCAGGAAGTACAGCTAATGGCAAACAGTGCAGTGCCATGATTATACTTCCTACATCAGAAGTAATCTCAGGAGAAGACCTTGCCCAGCTTTCCCAACTTAAAGATGTGGTAATCATATGTGACCGGAAAAAATCTACACATTTCCATAGTTTAGCAATCAACTGCAGACATAACATTCACATACACATACTAGACCTTGCAACTGTTTTCCAAAGAGCATACCTACAAAAGTATGCTAAGGCTATCTACAAATGGCTTCGATCACTGTTGTCAGACATTTCTCTCATCCTTCCAAAATCCATAATTCAGCCTTCTAACAGCAAATCCAATCTGAACAATATGGTGTCCAGCTACTTTCTAGCACAATCCTTACCGCTCATTGAGTTAGACAAAAACACAATTGCAAAGATACCAATGTCTGTCTCTGATGCCGTTCTTTTTAGGCACAATGCTGTTTACATTGTGGCAGGTGGACTGACTGGCTTGGGATTTGAAACAGTCAAATTTATTCTAAACAATGGAGGTGGCCACATTGTGATTCTCTCAAGAAGAAACCCAAATACTGAAATGAAACAACAAATAGCCAAAGCAATGAGTGAAAAAGAGAACACTAAGATAATAACAATATCATGTGATATAGGCCATTATGCTGATGTGAAGAAAGCTATTGATTCAATACAAAAGATCTTCCCAAATATTCCAATCAAAGGTGTCTTTCACAGTGCTGTTGTTCTGCATGATGGCATCTTGGAGAATTTAAATTTGTCACTCTTTGAGAAGGTCCTGAGCCCAAAAGTTAATGGTGCTGTCAATCTCCACTGTGCCACATTAAACCAAAAACTGGATTATTTTGTATGTTATTCATCTGTTGCTTCCTTTCTTGGAAACTACGGACAAGCTAATTATGCTGCTGCCAACTCCTTTCTGGACATTTTCTGCCAATACAGAAGAAATCTTGGTCTTCCTGCCCAATCAATTAATTGGGGAGCTCTGAATATTGGGGGTGTTATTGGATCAACCACAGGTCGTTAACATTTTGCAAGCATCCTGCCCAATCAATTAATTGGGGAGCTCTGAATATTGGGGTGTTATTGGATCAACCACAGGTTCGTAACATTTTGCAAGCAAGAGGACTACTTCTGTTAAGTGTACCAGAAATTCATGAATACCTGAAGAAATGTCTCTTACTAAACAATACTCAGCAGGCAATAGTCAAGTTTGATTTTAAATTGATATATGACAGCCTGGCTTCACGCATCCCAGGTATGAAGAGGAGATTGTTCAGTTTGGTGAATGAATATGTGAACAATTTGGATGACAAAAACCAAATAAAGCGATCCAAAGTTAATACACAGAAATCAGAGGAATACATTTTGTCACTAGTAAGTGAACTCACAAGTGTAACTTTAGGTGACATCACAATGAGTAGCCTTATGATTTCTTTAGGAATTGACTCTATGTTGGCAATGACATTACAGCAACGTGTCTTTGAAGAGAAAGGAGTAAATGTTTCTGTTGTCAAACTACTGGATCCCAACACAACCATTTTAGATGTGGGCTCATGGATTAAAGAAAACTCTTCAGATGAAGAAAAGTTGACGGAGAAAATAATACTGGACACAAAGCTGTAAAAACATTCATTTATTCATTCCTTATTCTATGCAAAACCAAAAAGAAGTTTGGGCTTTAGATATACTTAGAATTGGCAGAACTGAATGAAGCCACAAATATGAAATATACTAAGCTGAATAAGTTACCCAGGAAAATCCCTACAATAAAAAAAAAAAAACAGTAAGGCACTTTGTATTCTTAGAAGACCTATGTTTATCTGTTCATGTGAAAACATTATATTTGAGTTTATTTTTTCTATATTTACAAATGCAATTATGATCGCACAGACAGAAGACTCAATGTTGCTGTATGTACAAAAAAATTAAGACCTCTTGCACACACCTGTAAATAGCTTTACAGGGTACAGTTTGGGCATATTTGTCTACCTGGGAGTCACAGGTGTGGTGCACAGCTGCTTGCAATTGTAATACAAAAATTAGGAACCATAAATGATTCTGATATATCTAATATCATGTAGACTATTGCAAATTGATTCTCATACCCATACAAATACTATAGGTTAACCTCTCCAAATCTTCCTGACGAAGCCTCGGCGAAACGCGTTGAAGACTGGAGCAAGCACAGAATCATGGCTGAACTAATGATATATAGAACAATTATGTACAATTAATCATGCAAATAAGATATGAATACAATGAGGGCAATGACCAATATATGAATTTATAATCATGGTTTCTGTGTGGGTTCCAGGGAGGTTATTTATGTTGTACACATCTATTTATGGTTTTTTATATGGATGAATTTTAGCATATTTATATGTATAGACATTATGAATTGAGTATATTAAAAATGGAATTTTATTATATATATATGAATCAATTGACTTTATTATTGGATCAATTCCCTGCTATTCTCCAGTGGTCACCACAAAGCCCCTTTCTTTCTCTTTCCCCCTTTTTTTGATATACACAGCTGCTTGCAGCCAGCCTGTAGAAATGGGGCTGGCTGAAGTCCTGCAGTACGGATATATATGTAAATCCTATTGCTTACATGTATATCAGGACTTATCCCCTGCCCCGAATGTTGAGGGCCCTTAGTTTGGAGAAGCGTGTAAGTCCCATTGTGCATGTAAACAATGGGAAAAAAGGTGTTTACAATGATCCTATGCAACATAACGTTTTATCATATTTGGGAGTAAACTCACCCACCAGACAATTTACTGGCAAAAAATAGTATATTTGTACAAACAATAATAATACAGGGAGAGCTTTCACTTTAAATCTACCAGAGATTTAAAGCCCATACCCAGTCAAAGAACAAAAGCTGGAACATGCAATTAAAACTCATACTGGAGATATTTTTCTGTTTCTTTTTTATATGATTTAGACCAGGTAAATGTCCTGAGGTGCTGTTTAGTACAGTGGTGGCTGTGAAACATTACATTCCTTGCTAGCTTCACCATTCGATAGAGTAGGGAATGGTTAAAACCCGTCTATTTTTTACACCCACCATGAGTGTCCACTCGGAAATTATCCTTTACTTCCTATCCCCTAAATATAAAAAGAAGTGAGAAAATCTGTCCAAAGTGAGGTAAATGTCCACTTAGTGTGTCACTGGAACAAGAATCCCCACTTGAAGATTTTTCCTCCTACACTTTTGTGCTGACAACCTAAAGTATTGGATTTTCTCTCACTTTCAGGACCGGTGTCAATGGTCATCAGCACAATGAGAGTGAATCTCTCAAACAGGGACACAGACAGCAAAAGATAAATAAAAAGATTTTTTAGATACAAGGTAACATAATATAACCTCTTTATGATTAGAGATAATAATGGAAGATTTATGGGTCAAACCAAAGAAGAATGTTCAAATCCTATTTAATCACAGGGCCATGTAAATTGTAATTGTAACATAATAATTAAAAGGAGGATATATATCCTGGCAAGCAGCAATCAATGGTACTAAACATTAGTGGTGGACATATCCTGATACAGTAAAGCAACTTTGAGCATTCAAGCAATTTATTAAAATGAATGACTCTGACAGCATACAGTGTGTGCCTGAGGTCATCAAATGTAAATGATGCAATAGGCGAACCTAACCTCTTTTGTTTGGACAGGACATTGATTTTAACACAAATAATTTTATAATTGATGTAACCAATAAAACAAACATATATCTGGCTTCTTTGTGTCTGAGTTGTTTTCTTCTTTTACACACTGCTAAGAAGTTAACCCTGTATATGTATGTAACATTACAGGTACTTGCCTAACTTGGAGTGACATATTCCTTTACCTGGTCTCAGTGTCTACCTTGTGGTGCGAGGTTATTTTAGGTGCCCATGTCATCTGCTGTATGTACTGTATGTGTATATGTACAGTACGTATATATACTGCATACACATTCATTTTATGCAAAAATAAAAAATCCTGGTATGTGAAATATCTACTGCTGGCTGATACATCAGCACAGTGCATATGATCTGGCAGGAGAAACCACAATGTGTGGTGGAGGGGAGAAGGTATTCTTTGCACCATCAGGGTCAAATTCTTGCAGTAGCTGGGTGGTAGCGAAGCCGGAAAGGGGAGAATATTTACAGGTTTGGTATTGTGCACAAGTGACTCCTGCACTGAAAGAGTCAGTTTAATTTGGATTAACATGAAATCATATTTATTTTTTTATATAAGTGGAGGCACAGCAGATATTCTAGAATAGCAGCCATTTTACAGGACAAGTTACTGGCAACAATAAAAGTACCAAATGTGTATGCTTTTCTCAGCAGTCTGCCACTGTGTTGTATGAATATTCCCCTCAAGGCACATTTCAAACCCTCCCATTGGGTAAGGGGACAGTCATTGTTCTGATGGTCTAGAGCAAAGTCGCGAATAGCCTGGGAAATGGCTTATTTGCAAACCAAATCAAAGAACAAGAGAAACTTGTGACCCTTAAAGTTAGGTTTATGGGGTGTAGTTAATACAGAGTAAAAGCTGAGGACCTTGTCATCTGGTTCTAAAATGCACCAAACATCGACTGATTGTAACACAACTAAAGCCTGCCTAATCTTAGATAAAGTAGCAAAGCATAGAGTCAACTTACTGGAAGAACAGTCGGGTTGTGGCATCAGAGCTAGCCTGAAGCTGAAATGGATCTGAACCACAACTGGGTTCACACAAGATGTATGCTGCTGTTTCTAATTATGTTGTGTTCGGTGCACCGGAGAAATCACAAACTCAGAAGGTAACGGTCTATGAAAGCTCTAATTTTATTCAGGGCGGTCTCTCTCCTTTATACACAGATAACAGGAGAGTGTTCGTCACACATATGCCCACATCTGTTATCTCGAAATGTCTTGTACTATTGGGAAAACTAGAGGGGCTGTTAGTTAAAGTTTTGTGTCTCTCGCTAATTGGTTAGTCAAAGATATCTTCTGCCTGTAGCGTCCTCCCTCTGCATTCCTTTCATGTATCCTCGGCGTGCTCCCGAATACAGGTTATATCTCTTGGTTACGCATAGCAACGCTAAAAAGCTGAGTAAGGAAAGTCACAAAGCTAGGAAGCAAATGAAACAAATTCAAAACAATTTAAAACAGAAAAGGACATTTTCTTGATATGATCCATAGTCCTTCACAGTCCCCCCTAAAATGACTATTTCTATGTAGATAAATTTACCTGTCCCTTAACCTATCACCTGGAGCACACCCCGGAACTCTTTTCTTAACATGTGTAGGGGCCGTCCCAGGGGGCTAATCCACCTCTGGTCCCAACATGTTGGTATGCACTGTCAGTTGGTCTCTGTCCCTACTCTCACTAACCTAAGGTGTTATAACATTATATTTGGGGGACAAGGATTGTAACGGGGAATATGGTTTCTCGTCATCACTCAGGTAGGTGTCCTCTTCTACCTGTATCATGGTTGGGGTCAAAGTACTCTCATCCATCGCTTTGGCCATTAACTTCTTGGCATAGGGGATCACACAGCAGACTACTAGGCTGATAAAGATCAGAACAATGAGAATCACCACACCTACTTGGGCTGATGCTTTCTGCCAACCTGTCATCCAATTAAAATATTGGTCCCATGGGTCTGTGATACCTGAATTCTTCTTTAGTTCCACTGACAGGTCTGTTAGCTTCTTAATGGCTATGGTAACTTTACCATTTGGGCCGGTGTTGTCTGGGATGTACGTGCAGCAGGTTCCCACGTCTTTAATCATTTTGCATACACCCCCCCTCTCCGCAAGAATCATGTCTAAAGCCCTCATGTTTTGGAATGTCATGTAAGAGGTGGGGCCTAATTGGTCAGCAATTCCCTGCAGGGCATCTCTGGTATAATTCATGAACCGCTGCTGGTTGTAATATATGTAATTTATCCAGTCTACATTCTTGTTGACAGTAATTATGGGAATCAAGGACTCAAAACCTGCTTTTACCTGGTCTCGAGCCTTGAACTCGTCTGGGACCCCCCTTGGGACTCCTATGGCATCTATGTACACATGTGGGTCGAAACTGCCTGATGGGGTACTTCTTTTCCTTCTATGACTGTGCCATGGTTCAGGGTGTGGGGTAGACAGGTCGTAGGAGAGAATGTGAAGGGGTATAATGGGCACACTCTCCTCTCCAGTTCCCCTTTAGCCTTGATCTAATTTTTAAATCCCCACAAATCCAATACACGACACCCAAGGATTGGACTTGGTTCTGTACCAATTTACCTGAGATGCTACTGTAGGCAGCACAGTAGTCCTCAGTGAAATTCCCCAAGAGTCTCCCTTCTCCTTCCCAGTTTGAATAGCAGATGTAGTTCCCCGGGTAAATGGTGATACCTTCACCTGGTTTCGAGGTTTCTGT